GAAATGAGAGGGGGTAATGGGTCTGTGGTATTTTGGTATATTAGATTGAAGGGATTAATGTGAACCGTTGGATTACAAAAAATCCAACGGCTGTGATCAAGCCCAAGCGAAACGGGGTCATTTTGTTTAAGTGCTGGGGCGGGTTTGGGCTGGACCGAGTACAAGGACAGGATTGGGCTGGATTTGGTGTGTTCTGGTTTGGGCCTAAAGAAATTTGGCCTGGTTCCGATTCCTCCTCTCTTTCTTTCATTTTTTTTCTTTTATTTCCTTTTTTTTAATTCCTAATTACCAAAAATTCTAAATTAAATTGTAAAACCAAAATAAACTTAAAAATACTAATTAACCCTTAATAATAATTATCACACAAAATTAAATATCAATTAAAAATAAAATCACATAATTTGACATTAAATGCTAAAAATGCAAAGTAAATTATTTTTTTGTGATTTTTTCATTTTTGTAAAACAAACTTGATTACTTCTAATTGTAAAATTAAATCCTAAATGCAAATGCGATATATTTTTTTATTTTTTTATTAATTTAACGGATAAAACATGCTCAGACAAATGCAAACAATACAAGAAAAATAACACAAAATTCACAAAAATTGCAAACAACACTAAACTATTTTATTTTGAATTTTGGGAATAATTCTCATATAGGGCAAAAATCACGTGCTCACAGAGATAGTCAGGTTGAGTACTCTAAGAGTATGAGTATGCGAGGCTTTCATTATGTTGCATCACATACGACATGTATATTGACATGTAGATATAGAGATGTCATATTTCTCATATCATTCAGACTTGGCATATTTTTCCTGTATTGAGCTTAACTGTTTAGCCTGAAAGCATGTCTACATTCATGTACTGTTACCTGCAAATTATGAATTCTCTGAGATATTACTATAATTTTTCTGTAAATTTCCGTACCGTAAATTCTGTATGTGGACTGTATTGTTCGAGCCTGTCACTACTTTCAATCCAAAGATTAGACTTGTTACTTATTGAGTTGGTTGTACTCACGCTACACTCTGCACTTCATGTGTAGATCTAGGTGATTTTGGGCACGACGGTTGCTAATCTTGGAGTTTCAGCCGTTCAGAGATTATCAAGATAGCTGCATTGGCGTTCGCAGACCTTGACTCTCCTTTCCTCTATCTCTCATATTTACTTATTAAGTTCTACTTTTCTAGACAGTGTATCAGACTATGTTATCGTATAGATGTTCATGTACTCAGTGACACACGGGTTTTGGGAAATTCTGTATTGAGTTGTGACGTTTTCATCCAGTTTTATGAGACTTTTATTATTTACTTAAGCTCATTTCCGTATATTTTAAATTTCAATATGTTGGTATGTGTGAGTTGTCGGCTTGCCTAGTATCATGGTAGGCACCATCACAACACTTGTGATTTTGGGTCGTGACAGTAGATTTGTCCCAAAGAGACATTAATATGATTGGATGTTGAATCCAAATTGGAGTATATGAATATACTTCCAAGTAGAGAGGGACACATGTTCGAAATAATATTTGAGATTTTTATTAATATATACGGGATAATCAATCCGAGTCATAATATAATCAGCTGTTAAGAAAGTCTTATATATTTAACTTGAATGGTCGTTGTTGGATCGAATATAAGCCACGTGTTTGTTCAAAGTGAACTTTATTCTGGTAGCATATTTGCGTATATTTATCTTGACTTGAATATAAATCTTTCATTTTTATTGTGGGATTCTTGACTCTGACATGGAGTTCTCGATCCTTTTTGTGTACATGTAATATATATAT